AGAGGATATGGACGGGCAAACAGCTTTGTAGGGTCGGCACTCAATACATGTATGTAGAATTAGATTATTGCTACTACATGTATGCGGACAATTTCTAGTTTCTCTTTTCTCATTTTGTTTTAGTTCTCAAGTAACTATATTAGTGTTCTTGTTGGCAGATTTTCCTGATACTTGCAAGTTTAATTCTCATCTTCCTCTCTGCTATAGAAATATATGCACCAACGCTAAAAGGAAAACTGTCCTGAATCTACCTTCCCAATAATCAGTGTCTCCACTTGAAACCCTGATGAAAACTGAGACTCCTCTATCTTTATCTTTCCATGCTCTTCTCCCCTCATCCTCTGAGGGATTCCTTAATTATATGTAACTGTCGTCATCTCCATCCTGTACACCTAAATGTAACAAAATCATGGGCCCTTAGGGCCATAGGAGGCTGACCTGGAAAGACAGAACAATCTCCTTGCAGTGGGGACAGGGTGCAGTGGAAGAGATGGAGATCATGGCAAAGGGAATGGGGTGGCACAGAGCTTCCACTTGCAGACATTTTGGATCCTTAGGATAGACTGGGAGACACGAAAGGAGTAAGTCACAGAAGGAAGTCCGAAGAAGAGGTAACTTCCTGAAATTCAGAAGGAACTCCAGGAACAGAACTCAGATGTGGGCACAGGAGACGGAAGATAATCTGTGTATAGAGTAAGGAGGAAATGTGTGCTTTCTCTTCAGTCTACTCCCCCACATGTATTCTAAGAAGATAAAATCACACTTTTGCTTAAGGCCGGTCTTTTAGGCGGGCAAAGTGCAATTTCAGCAGATTTCTGCCCAAAATAAATTCTCTCCTCCTCACCAAGAACTGAAATTGCTATCACAAGAAACAATCTTTCATTTCATAATTAAAGGAAAAGTTCAAAATTCAAATGCCTAGGTTCCTGAATGACATAGAGAAAATAATACTGTTTCTACTAGTGTAAATGAATAATATCATGTCTTTTCCCTACACAGAAAAAGTGAGTTAAAGCACAAAAAAGCCCATGGCCTCAGATGAAGTGCAGAGAGAGATTTCAACCTAGAGAAGATAAAGGAAAGTGGGTCTAGACACAAATGGCAAACTTTGCCAACTTCTTAATTTTGTGTAAAGGCAACTCTGTCCAGTTTAGGGTATGCATGGATATCCAGAATCAATGCGCAGGCACTGAGCTTAGGAAGGATTTTGATTAAGACGCATGTATCACAACTGTATAAAACCAGGAAGTCCCATAACACTCCCTGGTACATAATGGGCATTCAATAAATATTTCTTGAATGAATGTGTGGTATAATTAGGATTATACTGCTGTGAGCTAGAGTGGGGACTAGGGAGAGAAGAGAAGGGAGAGAACAAGCATTCATTGAGAGCCTGGTATGTGCCAGACGCTATTAACTGTTTCTCATTAATCCTCCAAATTCTTTTGTAATTTGTACAGATGAAAAAACTGAAATTCAGAGAAGATAAGTAACTTTATCCAAGCTGAGAAACAGTAGGCTAGAACTCAAAGACCTATTTAACTCTAGAGCAGTATGCACTACTCAACTTAGACTCCTCGGAAAGGGCCCTGTAGCAAGCCTGGAAGGTTTCATGGGAAAACAGACACAAACTGAGCAAGAGCATGAGAATGTTAAGACTATAGGGTCAGAAAGAAAGAATGTGTGTTAGAGGAATGCCTGCAGTGTTTTAAAAAATCATCACTCAACATTGTTCAAAAGATGAAGTCATGAAATGATGGTCTTCTCTGTTTTTTCCTGCTCACACACAGTTTTCCTGGATGCACCCAACACCCTGAGATAGCACTTGAGCATGTATGGCTCATCGATCACTAAAATAAGAGCTGAAGAGATTGTTAACCAAAAAAAAAAACCTATACTTTAAAAAAATTCATTAAAGATGATGTAACTTTACACAGATAATGATAGATGATAGACAGATGATAGAGAGATAGATAGATAGATAGATAGATAGATAGATAGATAGATAGATAGATATAGGCTCCATAATGGTCCCCATAATTCACCAACTTTGGGGCTACACTTTAACCTTAGATCTCTGCTACACCTCCACACAGTGGCTTGTTCCTCTGGGTTGTGGCAGCATGGCAGCACTGAAAGTGGTTGTGAGTCTGTTAAGTCTCAGGGGGAACCTGTGTTATTGTAGGGGGCTCAAGAGAGCACAGAGGGCCACGGTAGTGGGCCTTCTGGTGGCTTTTATGGTGTTGAGGGTAGGCTGGGTCCTGGCACAGGGTGGAGTAGCCTGAGTGCTGGACCAAATAGGGCCCTGTGAAATTCTGGTGACTCTGATGGTGGTGGCCTTCTTTCAAGTAATGAGAGGAAAACAACACAGAATTTAAACAAATGCCAGGCCTACTACCTTGACAAGTTACATTGCCTGGAAAATGCCAGTGCTGACCTTGCACTCAAAATAAAAAGAAGGCATGGGAATTTGGGGGAAAAAAATTGATGGTCAACCTCGAGACTACAGCAAATATTACAACACTATCAAGTACCTTAAAACTCAGTTGTCTTAAATGTAGAAAATACAACCCTTTCTCCTGGCCAACATATATTGTATCTCATGCATCTAATGTCGAGAAAAATGTCTAATGTGCATAAAAATTAATATGAAATGGCTCAACATTCATTTGAAAAACATTCTTCTGTATTTCAGAGGCTCTAAAACAATGTATTTAGCTGAAAAGTTCTGTAATAGTCCCAGAAAAATTTAAATTTACTGTTTATCTAATTTATATTTATACAAATATAATTTTTTGAGACAAGGTCTTGCTCTGTTGCCCTGGCTGGAGCATAGTGGCACGATCATAGCAGCCTCACCCTCCCAGGCTTGAACAATCTTCCCATGTCAGCCTTCCAAGGAGGGACTACAGACATGTGCCACCATTCCCAGCTAAATTTCTTTTCTGTAGAGATGGGGTCTCACTATATTGTTTAAGCTGATCTCAAACTCCTGGACTCAAGTGATCCTCCAGCCTCAGCTTCTCAAAGTGCTGGGACTACAGGCATGAGCCGCCATGACTAGTACAAATATAATTATGATTGACAAACTTATAATTGTTGAAATCCGTGAAGCATATAATCTGGACCTAAAGGCACCCAACATATTTTGTTGAATTATATGTTTCCTTTTCCTCCCTTGAAGGTAACAAATGTTACTTTGGAAAATGCCAACATTCCGCATTAGATCCACAATGCTAGGCTCACTGTGGATGACTTCAAGCTTAAGTAAGTTCAGAAACCATGTAAAGAACTGATTTAAAAAAAAAAAAAAAAAAACCAACTCCCCGATTCACCACTTTAAACAGTTACTACAAAACTTACAATATCATTATTTCATATTATTAAACATCTCAACATAAAACAATCTCTTTTATGTTTAAATTACAATAGTGGTCATAGGCTAGCAATGCGAAAACTCCCAGGCTAGAGATTTGAAATCTCACATATGGTGTATGACTCTCCAACCCATAGGTCAGAGACTGGTTTTTATAGAACTGCAGGAGGTCCCCTCTACTGTACTTGAATTTTTTTTTTAACTGGGGAGACACAGTCCTTGTAAAACAAAGGTGCATTCCCCTGTACATGAAAAGGAGCTTGCTTCCTTTCCTAGTCAAAGAGCAGACGGGAGATTTTCACTCTTTCATAGCTTTAATAATGTTATTCTTACCATATACTGAACACTGATGCTGTGCTAAGCACTTTTGTACATTAACTCAATTCTCATAATATTCCCATTTTAGCCGGGCGCGGTGGCTCATGCCTGTAATCCCAGCACTTTTTGGGAGGCTGAGGCAGGTGGGTCACTTGAGGTCAGGAGTTCGAGACCAGCCTGGCCAACATGGTAAAACACCGTCTCTACTAAAAATACAAAAATTAGCCAGGCATGGTGATGCACACTTGTAATCCCAGCTACTTGGGAGGCTGAGGCGGGACGATCGCTTGAACCTGGGAGGCGGAGATTACGGTGAGCCAAGATCACGCCACTGTACTCCAGCCTGAGTAACACAGCAAGACTCAGTCTCAAAAAAAAATAAATAAAATAAATAAAAATAAAAATAAATTCCCATTTTAATGATGAGAAGACACAGGTTCAGAGAATTAATTTGCCCAAGGTGATAGCTGAACATGGCAGAGGTGCAATTTGAACCCATGTCTTCACACCCCAGTGCTGTGCTCTTTAAGCTCCACTATGTGGGACATCTTATTACCACTGGATGAGGAGACCTCCATCTAAGCTGTATTGATTCTTCTAATTGGGCTCTGTTCAGATACCAGAGTAAAGCTGTCCTTTATCAGTGTGTTGAGGCTGATAGCAACGGCCTGCAAAGTGTCTTGGATGAGTTGACTTTGAACAAGACTAACCTAGAGTTGCAAATGGAAAGCCAGATGGAGGAGCTGAATTACCTCAGAAATAATCATGAAGAGGAGGGAACTACACAAAATGAATTTAAAGTTTCAGTATGTCAATACCTGCCAAGATAGGGTGGTGGCGGCTATCATTGTAAGAGACATTCTTTTCATAAAACACAGGTAAAATAACATAGACTGTAAGGCAAAACTTGCCTCTCACGATGACAGTGAAAATCAAATAAATTACTTGTATTAAAATATTTTGTAAAAATTAAAAAATTATTCGTTTATATTGATCCCAAATATGTTTATAATAGGGTTGCCAGATAAAAACACAGAACTCTCAGTTTAAATTATAATTTCAGGTAAACAATGAATAATATAACAGATACGTCCCAAATATTGCATGGAATATAGTTATACTAAAAAAAGTATTCAATGTTTATCTGAAATTCAAATTTAATTGGCATTCTGTATTTTATTTGCTAAATCTAGTAACACTATTTTGTTGTCTCCTAGAAATTTCTTTGAAACCTTAAAAAAGATTTCTAAACTCTACATTTTCAGTTTTAAATTTTTAATTTCTTTAAATAATCATATTCCAGATGCAAGATCAAGTAACCTGTGGCATTTTATTTTATTTTGGATCAGGAGACGAAGGGTGACAATGATAAGGTACCTTATGTTGAGGTAAACATAGAAAACAAACGGCCCCAGGTGTGGACCTGACTGTCCTGCTGAACCAGACAAGAGAGTAATATGAGGCTTTGCCACAACAAAGCCACAGAAAGGCTAAGGCCTGGTTTAATGTAAGGTAAGCCTATCACCACCAAAACAAAACAAAACAATACCCAATATTAAGCAGAAGCCATGAATACTAGTATAAGTATTTATATTTTTATTCCACTCTAACACCTCAGAGTAAAGAACTGATGGGCAGGCCTCGGCTTCTGCTGACAACTGCCAACCGGCATGAGATTGCTGAGCTGAGGTGGACTCTCCAGACACTGGAACTGGAACTCCAGGCCCAGTGGCCTCTGGTAAGAATGCTGCAACGTGAGATCCTTGAGATAGATTGACTTGTTGAAGATGAAGAGAAAACTGAGAGCCTCCGGTACAGTTGTTGAAGAGCAACCACCAGCCAACACCAACAAGACAAGGAAGAAGAAGTCCTTCTCTCAACCGACGTCCGGAAGCACGAAGAAGACTCCCAAGACAGCGAAGAAAGGAAAACAACTTGAGGAGAGCCAGGAAGAAAAATGCTCCACAAAAATACGTGGCTTTAAGAAGACTTGAGGAAGGGAGCAGGCCAACACCCTCTGACCACAGTGACCAGCTGAATGAGGAGCTCCAACAGAATGAGCTGCAGCCAGAGCAACAGAGTGAGGGACACAGCCGGAGCAACAGAGTTAGGGGACACAGCCGGAGCAACAGAGTTAGGGGACACAGCCGGAACAACAGAGGGGGAGGATGCCACCATTTCAACTCTCTCCCTGAGCAGCGAGTAATTTCACGGCAAGCCCAGAGACCTAGGATCCATCTGAGAAGTCTGTAGAGGTCTGACCCAGACAACTCAACAACAGGGTACGCCCCATGGTGATGAAAATAAAATGAATCTGTTGTAAAAGGAAAAAACAAAAAAAGTTACAACGTGTTGCTTTGAAATTCAACAGTATATTCACACGTGACATGTCTGGTCACAGATGTCTCAAAACATTTTGTATCTCCACAGTACACTGTTTGCCCTGTAAAATTTAAAAGCAATTCTTTAATTTTAAACTATAGCAGCACAGTAAATTAGGATAAGAAAGAAAGACACAATACCAGGAGTAAATATACTTACATGGTTTCTTTAAAATTACAGATTAAGTTCTATGTGGTACTAGTTTACAGCATTCTGCACTATTCTTCTACATTGCAATTTTTGATGAGTCGTCTTTACTTTTATTTTCCATTCCTTTCCTCTTTTTTTTTTAATTTTATGGATAAATAGTAGTTTTATATATATATATATATATATATATATAAATATATATATAAATATATATATATATAAATATATATATATATAATATATATATATATATATATATATATATATGGGGTACATGTGATATTTTGATATAAGCATACAATGTGTAATGATCAAATCAGGATAATGGGGATATTCATTACCTCAAACACTTATTTCTTTGTGTTAGGAACATTCTAATTTCACGCTAGTTATTCAGAATATACAGTGAATTTCTGTTAACTATAGTCACTCTATTGTGCTACTGAACACTAGATCTTATTCCTTCTAATTGTAATTTTGTACCCCATCAACCAACCCCTTTTTATCCCCTGCTCTCTCTCACCCACCTCCCTACTGTCCTCCTAGCCTCTCTGGTAACCATTATACTACTCTTTATCTCGATGAGATCAACTTTTGTAGCTCCCACATATGAGTGAGAACATGTGATACTTCTTTTTAATCTAGTTTGACAGAAACTGAAAGTAACCACTGTTACAGTATGTTACCCCAATATAGCTTGTGGAGTCTTCATCCCTGGAGAGTTTTGAGACGGAAGGAAGTAAACAGGGGAGGGAGGAAAGTAGGAAATTCTAACTAGACCAAATTTAGCATTTATATTCCAGATGCCAAGAAAAAAAAAAATGCAACATCTTATAGCTCTGCAAATATGCACTCATTTATATCTAAGCTTTAGACTAGAAAATTCTAACTAGCTCCACATTTCAATCAAAATTATCAATATGGAAAATATTTGGAGAGACAGCAAAAAGCTTAATAGTTTTTGAATGTATATAAGTTGGAAACTTTCAAAGCACAGAACCCCTCCATGTCACAGTTTACTACTAAATTAATTCAGATACACACCTTGCATTCACCGTTGTATTCCTCAAGACTTAGAGTTAAAAACCCGATGAAAAGTGGTTAATCTCCATAATGGGTGTTAGCGCCATCTGAAAAAGCCAGCATTATAAAAGCATTAATGTTTCAATTATGCATGGTGGCTAACTGCTGTGATTTGTTATTTTTAATGACTGGTCTGCCAAAGAGTTAGGAATCTCCATAAACCCATGCCAGACAGACCCTCAAGAAGTTAGGGCAGAGTCTCACCTGGGAACAGACAAGGCCTACAAGTCTGATCTCTTCCAGGGCAGAACATCTTGCCTCATTAGTTCTTTTTCTTTTCAAATTAGTCTATTTTTTCATCACAAAAGGAATGATAAGGAAGGCTTGTCTAGTCTGAAAAAGAAACTAAAATCCCTTATGTTCTTGTTAATTTTCCAAGTCACATGACCGAAAAATACAATTTTAGCTCATTTCAAAAGAGTTTTAGAAGTTACTCATTGTTTAAGCCAGCAACAGTGTGTTTAAAAAAAGAAAAAACAGTTAATCATTGTGTTTTTAAAAAGCTCTGAAGATAGGTCTGTGTTCAAATCCCACCAAAGTCCCTTTATTGAATAGTTTTGGGCATGCTAAATTTTAACTAATTTCTTTTCTTTTTTGAGGGGGTTTGTGGGGAAAAGGGTCTCGCTGTGTCACCCAGGCTGGAGTGCAGTGGTGCAATCACAGCTCACTACAACTTTGACCTTTCCGGCTCAGGGGATCCTTCCACCTCACCCTCTTGAGTAGCTGGACCCACAGGCACGTGCCATCACACCAGGCTTTGTGTGTGTGTATGTGCGTTTTGTAGAGACGGGGCTTCGCCATGTTGCCCAGGCTGGTTTCAAACTCCTGGACTCATGCGAATCCTCCTGCCTTGGCTTCCCAAAGTGACGGAACTACAGGCGTGAGCCACTGCACCTGGCCAACTAATTTTAGTTAAAATAAAACTTCTGGCCAGGCATGGGGGCTCACGTCTATAATCCCAGCACTTTGGGAGGCTGAGGCGGGTGGATCACCTCAGGTCAGGAGTTTGAGACCAGCCTGACCAACATGAAGAAACCTTGTCTCTACTAAAAATACAAAATTAGCAGGGCATGGTGGCGCATGCCTGTAATCTTAGCTACTCAGGAGGCTGAGGCAGGAGAATCCCTTGAACCTGGGTGGCTGAGGTTGTGGTGAGCCAAGATTGCGTCACTGCACTCCAGCCTGGGCAACAAGAACGAAACGCCGTCTCAAAAAAAATAAATAAAATAAAATAAAATTTCCCTCATAAAGTTGCCAACAGGATTTGATGAGACAAAAATGCAAGTAAAGTTTAGGACAGGCCTTGGAACATAAAAAAGTCTCAACAAGCTCTATCAACTCTATCTTAGGACTGACTTTGCAAATGCTATTTGCATAGTTGTTTAATAAGTTTAACACAAGACATCAAAAGTTCTTTGGGCATTATCAATCGTCAGCCTTGTGAAAGAAGCCACAGACTGGTTACGGTACATTTTCTCTGTTACTATTGTGTGTTACATTTAAATAATTATTTAAATCTATTCCTCTACCATTCTTACAACTCCCTTACCAAAAAAAAAAAAAGTGATTCAAAGACAGAGGTCCATTTATTATGAAATTGACTAGTTGTCTGAGTCCATAAGGTCAAGTACTTTTTAAAAACCTTTAAAATTAGGAAATTAATTTGACTCCCTAAGACTTTTTCCTTCAAATTTAAGCACATTACATATACTCACTTAAAACCACTAGAATGGGGGATTACTGCTTTCACTGTAAATGTTAACCTCTGTATGTACCATTTCTAATCCAAAACTTTCTCTGTCCAGACTCTCTAAGAAAAAATTATGAAGTTATACCCAATTATAATGTTATTTTCTCTCATATCCAGCCATCCTTGAAATGACCAATTGGATAAGCAACCACAACTGGACCTAAAGGAATTTTCTTAGATTTATGAGGGGGAGAAAATAGCCACTGAATTTTGGACAATGTTCAGTTTCAATATTTTAAAATTGGAGTCTGTAGAGAATTGTTTGTTTGGTACTTTCGGCTTCACTATTTTTTATGAAAACTAAAAGGGATATTATGTTTCTATTTTATGTTCTATGTTAATTAATTCTCCTCCTAATGCAGCTAACTCATAGTGAGCAATTCTCTTTTACAAAATGAAATTAATTTACCTGAAAAGAAATTTATGACATACTAATGAAATTTAAAAGCTAAACTGTGTTATAATCCTTAAATTACAACATACTCTTAGGCTAGCTAGCCAGAAACCCAACTAGAATTGTCAATTCTCCTAATATAAAAAAATTCAAAATTTTTACCTTTGTATAGATCCATGGTAACTGTATTATTCAGGGGGAACAAGAGAGATTTCAATACAGGCAACAATGCATAATCACACCCAGATAAAAGGGGTACCTATCACCTCAAGCATTTATCATTTATTTGTGTTACAAACATTCTAATAATATTCTTTTAATTTAAAATGTACAATAAATTATTGTGACTATAATCACCCTATTGTGCTATCAAATACTAGATTATATTTGTTCTATCTAATTATATTTTTATACCCATTAACCATCCCCACTTCCCAGCCCCCTCACCCTATACTACTCTTCCCAGCCTCCGGTAACCATTATTCTACTCTCTACCTCTATGAGAGTTCAATTGTTCTCATTTTTAGCTCCCACAAATGAGAAGTTTATCTTTCTATGCCTGGTTTATCTCACTTAACATACTGTCCTCCAGGTCCAGTCAAGTTGTTGCAATAGCAGGATCTCATTCTTTTTTATGGCTGAATAGTACTCCATTAAGTATATGTACCACATTTTCTTTATCAATCCGTCTGTTGATGGACACTTAGGTTGTTTCCAAATCTTGGCTATTGTGAGTAGTATTGCAAAAAAAAAAAAATGAGAGTACAGATGTCTCACTGATATACTGATTTCCATGATTTTGGGTATATATCTAGCAGTGGGACTGCTAGATCATACAGTTCTATTTTTAGCTTTTTGAGGAACCTCCATACTGTTCTCCATAGTGGCTGTACTAATTTACATTCTCAAGAAAAGTGTACGAGGGGGTTCCCTTTTCTCCATATCCTCACTAGCATTCATTATTGCCTTTCTTTTGGATAAAAGCCATTTTAAGTGGGATGAGACATAAAACAAATTAGTGTGACTGTAATAATTTTTATATATGTAATAATTACATTCTCATTGCACAGTTTTGAGTCATTTCTCTGATGATCAATGATGTTGAGCCCCTTTCTATATACCTGTTTGCCATTGTATTTTTTTTTTTTTTTTTTTTGAGGTCACTCTGTTGCCCAGGCCAGAGTGCAGTGGCATGAACATGGCTCACCTCCGTCTCCCAAGTAGCTGGGACTACAGACACATGCCACCATACCCAGCTAATTTATTTTTATTTTTTGTAGAGATGGGGTCTCCCTGTGTTACCAAGGCTTGTCTTGAATTCCTAGGCTCAAGCAGTCCTCCCGCCCCAGTCTCCCTAAGTGCTGGGATTAGAGGTGTGAGCCACCATGCCTAGCCTGTATGTCTTCTTTTGAGATTTGAATGTCTATTCAGTTCTTTTGCCCATTTTTTAATCAGATTATTAGATTTTTTTTTCCTATTGAGTTATTTGAGCTCCTTATGTATTCTGGTTATTAATCCTCTGTCAGATGGATAGTTTGCAAATATTTTCTCTCATTCTGTAGGTTGTCTCTTTACTTTGTTGACTGTTTCCTTTGCTGTGCAGAAGCTTTTTATTTGATGTGATGTATGAAAAAAAATTCAAATTTTAGAATAAAACTACAGATATATTTTAGCAGGTTACTAGTATCAAGATAATCTCAACAGATCCAAGACAAAAATAGTGACCTTTAATGAAGAGGAAAGAGTGAGGGCTAAAATGTTTTCTTAATATATTCAGTGTATTTCCATTCTAAGGAATACATCTTTATATACTTTAAGGCATTTTAAAATTCCTATGCAGAATCTTGGTTTTCGTATCATTCTTACACATTCTTACATCAAAAAGTATCATAATTTCCTTTAAAGCAAAATTAAATTAGTTGTCTTCAACCAGCCTTTATTTAAATTTTTAACTTGCACTATTGCCAAAACATACAGGCCAAGAGTTTAGAGAAAAAAAATAAAGGCAAAGAAAGTGGGGAAAGGCACTGAAGCAATATGAAAACATTCAGAGAACAATGAGTACTGGGTGCAGCAAGAGCAGAGGCACCCTCCCTTCTCTAAAGGAACTTAAACGTTGCATCGCATTGGGAACACTAAGAAAGAGGCCAGAATAGTATAACAAATTATAAAACACCAAGTTGTTCAACATAGGAAATGAGAAGAAAGAGACAGCCATGAACCAGAGACTAATGGTGAGAACTCTCGTGAAGGAGATGGCATTTAAGTCAGAGTTTGGAGTTGAGGTAGAATAACTTGAATAAACAGCAAAGTAGAAGATGGGCATTCTACGCCAAGAGCAACAAACACAGGCCTTAAAATGGAACAAAGCATAGTATATTAGCCAAGAGTAAGAAAGGCCTGCCTAAAGGATTAAGTAATTAAAGGATTTTTCAAGGAGATGCTAACACACATTTTTTCACTGAATCATGGACTATAATCCATATTTTAATATTTAATATTACTATCCATATTTTATAGGGTAGTAAACTGAGACACGGAAAGCTGAGTGTCTTGCCCAGGGCCACATAATTACTTTATGAAGAAAATGTAGCACTCCTTCCACTCCCCACCCTGACTCACCGCAGGGAGCATGAGGTTGGACAGACAGAGTAGGGCAAGGTTATGGAGAAGACTTAATCCGTCCACAAGAGGTCTGAGTATGTTGATGAAGTGATGACAATACTGTTTTGAGAACATCAATCTTGCCGCAGTGAACAGATCTTAATTGACAGTGCTGAGTCAAGAAAACCACTTCAGAAGCTGGTGAAGTAATCTTCAAGAGAAGTGGTAAAAGCCCAGATTAGGGCAGTTACAGTGGGGCTACGCAGAAAGAAACGAATACATCAGCCATGACAAAGAGA